TTGCAAGTGTGGATGCCATCACCAGCGTAGCCTTCACGGCAGCTGCAGGAGACCTGTCACAAATCCTGATCACTGTGGCTGCAAGGAACCCTGAATGAAAAGGCCATCCCAGACCTAGTCTAAACAGAGGCTCCAGTCAAGCCTGCCAACTGACCTGCCGGGGGCCTGTGGGGATACATTCAGCATGAACATGGCAGCCCCCATGGTGGACGAGACAGCTGTTTATTTCTAGAGGAAGAGACACCGAGATGAGGAACAGCCCCGAGGACCCCTCCATTCATCTGTCCACCTGCAACTCCAGGTGTCCATCTCCTCCCTCTTTGGGCCCCACGTCACCACATACCCTGTGTGCACTCAGACCTTCTCAGTCTGACTCAGGTGACTAGAAAGGCCTACCCTCCCGTGTGCCTATCTTGGGGCACCTCACCCTGGCACAGCTCCCCGTCGCCTGTGTAGCCATCCTGACAGGTACACGTCCGCTGCCCAGGAGCCACCTTGGTGCAGTTGGCATAGGGTGAGCAGCCCCCGTGGCCCGAAGCACATGGGTCCACCTCTAGGGATAGACGTGAGAAACAAGCAGGAGATAAAGGTTAGAGGGTAGATGGGACAGCCACCCCAAGTATTCCAGAGTGGGGCCCAGGGCGTCCAATCTGGCCAACCTGAGCAATAACTGCCGTTGCCTGAATATCCCGCAGCACAGACACAGGCAGGGATTCCGGCGGAGTCCTGTACACAGCTAGGAGGGATGGCAGCCATTTAACCCGTGTCTGCCCTGTCCTGCCCACAGTCACCCCACCATAGGTTGGCCTCACTCACTTGGCATTGGGATCGCACTTCTTGGGACACTGGGGATCGATGATTTCTGGGAGGAGACAGAAGGTTCTGGTGATTCAGACCAGAATCGTTCCCCTATTGTCCCGTGCCCCTAGCCCTCTGGGACCTACTTACTCTGGTCACAGCGGAGACCCTGCCAACCCACGTTGCAGACACAGCTTCCATTCCCTCGAAGGCCCTCCTGGCACAGCCCGTGGTCACAGTCACATACTGGAAGTGGGACAATAAGGGACACGAGTTACTTTCCTGCTCTTCATGGTATAGTGACCCCAGTCTGTTCTCCTTCCCAGGGGCCACCATCCTACTCCATGCAGACCTCACCTCCAGAACAGCTGGGCCCATAGCGGCCCAGCTCACACATCTCACAGGCTGTTCCATGGAAGCCCTCTTGGCAGCGGCATTCCCCGTTGCCCAGGAACCTGTCTTGGCACTGCCCATGGCCCGAGCACACTCCACCTAGACCCCCCGGGCATGGCTCACATAGTGTGCCAAAGAAGCCCGGGCAGCAGTCGGGCACCTGTAAGGGGCAGGGGAATGGGAAGGGAAGGAGAGAGGCCCAGCACAGGCCAGGATGGGTGTCACTAGCCAGAAAGAGATGGTTACATCTCAGGGCCACAGAGCAGAGCAAATCGGAAGCACAGACCCAGGGAGGGTAGAGCAGAGCCCTCAGGGGATGTGGAGGATGCCTTCCACAGCCCTCCCCTGGTGGGGGGGGGGGGGGCTCAAACAAGGAGAGCTGCAACTGCATGGATTGCACAGGACAGACAGGGAAGCCTCATCACTGCTGCTGGGTTTGGTTAACGGTGCCAGGTCTGGGATGCGACCCTGGATCTCTCCTATCCCCATTGCCCAGGGGTTAGACACCAAACCAACAGCAGCCCTCTGATTTTGGACATTCCTAAGACCCTTGCTTTGCTGTCTTTGCTGGAGGCTCAACACCTCTGCCCTTGAAATTCAGTCTCAACGCTTCCCCGGGGCCTACTCTGCTCTCCTCCTCCCCTGGGCAAAGCGGCAAAGCCTTGGTGGGGAACACCTCAGAGCAAACCTGGATCTTCTTGGCACATGTGTAGGAACAGCCCCGGGAGAAAGAAAAGCCAGATCTGTAGACACAGCTCTTTCTAGGTGTGTCCTAGAATCGGAGACACGTAGGAAGGGTCATCTGGTGGCTTGGGTGGGGACAGGGTTGTGCATGGGAGACACACAACAGTGTTAGAGGTGTCAGAGTGAGGTTGACAAGTGTGAGGAGGACAGAAGGGAGAGGGGGAGGCCAGGACAAACGGGCCTGACGAGGGGATGGCACAGGGACTGGCCTAGGGCGACAATGAGTTCCTCTGAGCAGACCACGTCTGGGGTTCAGCCTTAACTGCGAGCTGCAGCTGCCCATCCCGGGCCAGGTCCCAGCGGGTCTGGACCTGGGGGGTTAGTGGGGACACTGAAGTAAGTACAGGGCTGTGCTGAGCCCAGCGTACCTGCAGCTGGAAGCCTTGGGTGCAGCGGAATTTCCGGGTACAGTTTATGCATTTCTCCTGGAGAAGAAGGGCAGGGCGTCAGTTGATCCAGGACAAGGCCGGCCAAGTGTTCCTTCCTGCCACCTAGACCAAGCAGCAGCTGCTGCTCCGGGTTTTGTTTTTGTTCGTTTTTGAAACAGCGCCTCACTCTGTAGGTCTGACTGGCCTCAAGCTCAAGAAGAGATCTGCTTACCTCAGCCTCTAGAGTTCTGGGATTAAAGGCATGTGTCACCACGCCCAGTTGTAGCTGCTGATATATGTGTGTGTGTGTGTGTGTGTGTGTGTGTGTGTGTGTGTGTGTATGTATATGTATATATGCGCGCACACATATACATATATAATGTATATGTATGGTGTATATAATATATATGCACACACACATATATACATATGTATTTTTAATATTTTATGTATGACTGCTCTGCATGCCAGAAGAGGGCATCAGATCCTGTTATAGGTGGTTCTGAGCCACCATGTGGTTGCTGGGAATTGAACTCAGGACCTCTGGAAGAACAGCCAGTCAGTGCTCTTAACTGCTGAGCCATCTCTCCAGCCCTCACAGCTGCTGATCCTTAACACCCCTCCAGGCCCCAACTTCTTACCCGAAGAGCTTCTGCATGGCTGTGCAGGCAGCGGCTGGAGCCCACTGTCAAGATCCCCGACAGGCCAAAGAGGGAGCAGCCAGGAGCCTCCAGAAAGGGCCCCTCCAGGGGCATGTGGTTTACCTCAGGCTGGGAAGGAGGGCAGAAGGCTGAGTCTACCTACCCACTCCCACCACCCTCACTCTTAGAGGCAACAGGATAAGAACACACTCGAGGACTGGGGGGACCTCCAAGGATGGGAGCTAAGTCTTCCCGGAGCAGAGGCTGGAGTCTCCTTGGTGGGGAAGTTTCAAAGGCAAGTCCCAAGAGCAGAGTTCCTGGGAAGGGTCTCCTAATCCCTGCCCTTCAAACCTGGCCACTGTGATTGTAGAAGACCAGCCAGTGGGCGGGACCCAGAAGGGAGTTCCGGTGTCCTCCTTTGCGTAGGACCTCCACAGTGAGTGCCTCCCCAAGGATCACATGATGTCGGACTGTGTCTATGTCCTGCCAAGGAGGAGTCACTTCAGGGTTTCCAAGACTCTCGAGGGCCCTGGGTATCATGCCATCCCCACCATGTCCCCGTGTCTTGGCTTAGGAGGCTTATCCTGCCCATCCCCAAGGCCTCACCAAGATACTGCTGTTGCCCTGGGTCTCCAGAGAGTGGTTTGTGGGCACAAAGATGGTATAGGCTTTGGCAGCCTCAATTTGGGCCACGAGTTTGTGGTGCTAGGGATAGAGACAGGGGGGCAAGGTAGAAAGATGAGCAGGCAGTCCTCAGTCCCAATGCAGGGAGCCAGCCAGTCCCCGGCATCCTCCAGGAACTCACTCCCCTTGAATGAGCCTCCTTTACCTTTAGCTGCTCCCGGAAGAGGTGGAAGGCGGGCACCCTATCTAGTTGCTGTAGCAACCCTGGCCCAGTCTGCACAGCACCTCTTGGAGGCAGCAAGACCTGGCATAGAGCAGGAGGGGCTGTCAGTCCATCATTCCTGGTCCAGGAAGTTCCCCGCACTCCCTTCTCCTGCTATACCTGGCTAATGATGTGTAGAATGCCATTGGTAGCAAGGAGGTCGGTTACATCCACACTGACGTTCTGCACCCAGATTTTCTGGAAGGCAGCAGAAGAGCTCACTCTAGTTGGCCACTGATACATGGTGTGAGAGATATCCCACCGGGCTTGCAGCCTCGGTCTCCACCAGATGGGTGCATAAACCCCCACCAGTCCCCACAAGAGAGGGCAGAGTTACAGGCGCCAGCACACACAGCTTCTAATGAGACAACTGTGTGTCCTATGTTAGTCTCTGAAGCAGCCCTGGGCTGATTGCTCCAGAGTTCAGCTCTTACCCCACTGACGTTATGTATCTGCCAGCGTGTCGTGGGGCTCAGTGTGGCTACTTGTTGTCCACTTAACCGGGCTAGCTCCTCCTCTGAGAAGGCACCCTGGAGAAAATGGGCCCTAAGGGGAACAGTTCAGGGGGCATTGAACCAGATTAGTGTGACCTACAAAGAACCTTGAGTCTGGGTTCTCCCCACTTGTGTAGATACATGGTAAACAAAGAACCAGATCCTCTCAGCCCTGTCTGGGAAGGGTCCAAGGTTCCACCCAGAATCCCCTCCATGACCCAGGCCCTTCCCAGCTGTCCCACCTGACCAGTTCGGGCAGCATTTTTGGCTGCAGCCAGAAGGCCTGGTCCTCGGGGCTCAGCCTCCGGATGGCCGACTCAGAAGGTACCAGGGCTGTGACGTTGCTGTCAGCAGGGAGAACGACACTTGAATTCTGCACACAGCGAGTGGGGGCAGGGAGATGAAGGTGACTCTTGGAGCGCTAGGTAGCATTCCTGTATCCAGGAAGGCTTTGTAGACACGCGCCCAACCCTAGCATTCTGCCCCGTCCCTTACCTTGAACCACTGCGAGAAGGCGGAGAAGTGGGCATTTGCCTCCAGTTCCTAAGGGGCAGGAAAAGAAGGCTGAGGGCATAGACCTAAGGACAAGCTGAAGTCCCCAATCACCCCCTTCCCCACAGGTACGTGGGAGGACAGCACAGACTTAGGGAGGAGAACAAGCCTGTGCACCACCTACCTGGAGGATGTCTCCATAGCAACTAAAGCCATCACCGCCAAAATGAGGGGGGCATGTGCAAACCCGCTGGCCTCCCCCAACTGCCCGGCAAGTAGCCTGGTAGGGGTAAGGAACAGACAGTTAGGACCTCCATTCATCACCCAAACAACAGCTGGACACTAGCTGGTCTCATCTTCTTCTCTTGTTATCACCGCCCCCCACCCCTTCGCCTGTGCGGGGGGGGGGGGGGGCCTGAGTCCTTCTATACCCCTCTCCAGCTATCCTGTCTGTGTTCACAAAGCCCATTCAGTAGGCCTGCTCCCCAGGACCGCAGAGCCCTGGGCATGGGGATCATCCCACCAGTCGTAACTAGGGGCTTGGGGAGCCAGTCCTATAGAGCAACAAAGATAACCCTAGCCTGCAGGAGCCTGAGCCTTTGAAAGCAGGAGAGGCAAGGCCTGAGGAGTGTCTGGGAAAGGTAGAGATGCCATAGGGTAGGAGGGCAGAGGGAAGTCAAGACACAGCAAGGAGCTTTCCAGGACCAGAGGAATAAGGAACGGAGTGGGGGGGAGGCAGTGAGAGGGACCGGGCAGGCTGGGAGGCTCTTGGAGGTGCTATGGCCTTAATAAAGCAGCACAGGGGCTTTATCCTGTTGTAGAGTGGTGATGAGAATTGGGATTTAGAAAGACACAAGTGCTAAGGACAGACATGCCCAGCTGCAGCAGGCCCTCCCCTGAGAGCCTCCCCAGAGGCTCGAAGCCTTTGTGCCCTCTTACCAGGCCATGGCAGCCACCATTGCCTACCCGACAGGGGTCGATGGGGCTGCACTGGTAGCCGTCTCCAGCGAAGCCCAGCTTACATGTGCATCGACTCTGGGGAGGGAGGCAAGGGAACAGAGTTTGACTTTCCCCATCTCTTCCTTGGCTCCCCAGGAGATCTGCCCATACCTCAGATGAGCTCTTGCTATCTTGCCCTTGGAGATCTGTGCTCCGGAGCCCCAAGGGGAAACCAGCTCTCAGGGTAAGGCTGGTCAAGAGATGGCCCTGACTGGAAGCTTCCATGGAGACTCAGCACCACCCTGTACTCAGAGCCCTGTCAAGGCCTTTGGCTCGAGGTCAGTGTCTTGCGGCAAATGGGCAGGGGTTGGCCAAGGCCAGCCCCAGGAAGGGCACTGGAATCCCACCTCCTTCTCGGTCATCCAGTCAGCTGTTATAGTCTCTTCCCCTAATGGACATGCCTTTGTGCTTGTCTACACTGCAAATCAGCACAAGTGGGACCCTCACCCCCATCTCAATTGTTGGGGGGCATCTACACCTAAGCATTCAAAGCCTCAGTTCTGAGTTTTCTTTCTCTCTTTCCTTTCACAGGCTCTTGTTACACAGCCCAGGCTGGTCTTGAATGTGAGAGCCCCGCTTCTGCCTCCTGAGTGCTCCCCAGCTCCTGGATGGGGTTCAGATTTCAGTCTGATTTATTGACAACACTCCACAGACTGCTGGCCCAGAGGCCGTCACAGAATTGAGAGGACAGGGCCAGGAAGAGGGTGACTCTGAACCAGTCAACCTAGCCTCCTATTGGTACCATAGATATTCTTCTAAAATATGTATGTATACAAAATTGTTTTATGTCTATGGGTGTTTTACCTACATGTGTGTGTATACCATGTGCATTCCTGACCATCATAAATCATCATATTCATAAATTACTCATCACCATCATAAATTATGTAACCCCTCAATCTTACAGATTCTTACTTCTAAAACTCCTGTGGAGGCCTGAAAAGGACTCTGGATTCCCAGAGACTAGAGTTACAGACCATTGTGAGCTGCCATGTGGGTGCTGGGAACCAAACCTGGGTTCTTAGAGCAGCCAGAACTCTTAACTGTTAAGCCATCTCTCCAGCCCTGATTTATTTATGCTTAATTTTTATATATGGGTTTTTGCCTGCATTATGTCTGTGCACTACATGCATGCAATGTCTTCAGGGGCCAGATGAAGGCATTGGATCCTCTGGAACTGGAGTTACACAGTTGTGAGCTGCCACGTGGATATTAGAACCTAACCCAGATCCTCTGCAAGAGCGCCAAGTGCTCTTAACCACAGAGCCATCTCTCCAGCCCCACCTTAGATGTTTTTTTGTTTTGAAACAGGGTCTATTCTGTATCTCTGACTGTTCTGGAATTCACTATGCATACCAAGCTGGCCTCAAACTCATAGAGGTCTGTCTCCCTCTGCCCCCTGAATCCTGGGATTAAAGGCATGTGCCACCGTGCTTGGCCCATGTTAGAGATTCTTAGACACTTGTCAGAACTCGGGTTCATGAACCTCAAAATGCTTTAAGATCCCGCAACAAGTATTTGAGACTAGACTGTGACATTCCAGAGATAGATTACTGTGGATCTACAGATTTAGGACCTCTAGAGGCAGGGTTTCCCCTTACATGCTTAGTATCACACTCCCCAAGTCTTGGAGAGAGCTTGCCCTATAACAGGTGCTGGGTTACACATAGGAACCCAGGGAGCACATGAGTACCAGGGTGTATGACTTCATCTGCATCTGTGGGTCCAGACTCTGAGCTTAGAGTAGATGTTCCTGAAGTTAGATTGGGTGGAGGCAAGTCCCCAGCTATCCTTCTGCTCCTTACCTGTCCAGGGCCCACGTAGCTGCAGAGAGCATCCGCATGACAGCCACCTCGAGTGTCCAGCCCACATTCATCAATGGCCACACAGATGCGGCCATCCCCACTCCAGCCTTTGTGGCAAATGCAGCGGTGGGTGCCCAGGTCTCCAGGGACACATTCGGCCTGTGTGGGTCAGGGATGAGTGACTCAGGGGTACAGAGCCATGGGTGGAGGCCAAGGAGCCCCATCCTGTGTCTGGGTCAGAACATTAGTAAAAAGGTAAGGGAGGGGAGAGAGGAACTAACATTCTCTGAGCAGCCACCACGGTCTGGGTGTGAGCAGGGATTGCTGCGTGTGCAGGAGAAGCCATCACCTTCAAAACCATCAAGGCAGACACACCTAGAGTAGGGAAAGAGGACCCCGTGAGCCTGGATAAGAGGCTGGAGAATGAGCAAACCAACATGTAATTACGACAGGACACAAAGGAAGCCAGAGTCCTCACCTGGCCTCACCCTCCTGACTAACGCAGCGAGCATGTTGGTGGCAGAGCTGGGCCAACCCTCTGGATGCACAGCTTCCCATGGACTCATTGCAGAAACGCCCCTGGAAGCCAGGGGCACAAGTGCCACTCTGGCACACTCCTCCACTGCCAGGACGGTTGTCACACAGGCCATGGACACAGCCACAGTCTATGGGGGGGGGGAATGAGAACAGAGAAATTGGGCAGCAAGTAGGGCTTGTTGGAAGCCAAGATTGGGTTGCAAAGTAAGGGGCTGGGAATGGAGTGGCTATAATAGACTTGACTTTATGTTATTTGACTCTATATTAGGGTCCCTAAATCATAGATCATTCAAACTCAAAGAGCAGATAAGTAAACTATGAGGCAGGCCATTTATTTGTTTTGTTTTTGTTTTTTTGAGACAGGGTTTCTCTATGTAGCTGTGGCTGTCCTAGAACTCACTCTGTAGACCAGGCTGGCCTTGAACTCACAGATCTACCTGCCTCTGCCTCCAGAGTGCTGGGGTTAAAGGCGTGTGCCACCATGCTCAGCTTTGAATTTTTAGTCACGTCATTCTAGCTACTGTCTCTAATCCCACTATCAGAAAGTCTCCAATGTGTCTTGCTTAAATCTTGCTTGCTTTAGATTGAAGAACAGTTTTCTTCTGGTGAAAAACATCCGTTACTGTTCTCCAACTGGCACTGCTCCCTGTGGCCACCATTCCTCTTAGGGCCCTGTTCCTTCTCGGGAGGCCCTCGTCACAGTTTCTACATTAAGAGCTTCTCTCTCTCTCTGGGAGGTGGCCCAGGCCACCATCACTCACCTTCCTGGCACCGCTCGCCATGCTTGTTTGGGTTGGAGCAGATATGGCAGGCAATACCCTTGTAGTCTGGAAAGCAGAGGCAGGCCCCATTGCCCTGGACCCCATCGCTGCACTGGAAGATGGCAGGCATAAAGATCAGTCATGGACATGGTCCCCACATCCCCTCCTGCTGTGGATTACGCTCATTGTTAATAAAAACTGATTGGCCGAGAGCAGGGCAAGACAAGATTCGGTGAGACAGCCTGACACAGAGAATGATGGGAGGAGGAAGGGTGGAGTCAGGGGAGCAGGATGTGTAGAAAATGAGGTAACAAGCCATGAGTCACGTGGCAAAGTGTAAATAAGAAATATGGGTTGTTGTTCGAATCTTAGACGGTCTTTTAATAAAAAAACAAAAACCCAGAGCCAAATATCAGGGTGAAAGCTGAAAGGTCAGAGAAGCAGAACAGCCAGCAACTATCAGAAAGTCTCCAATATGTCTTGCTTAAATCCTGCTTGCTTTAGGGTGCCTCAGCCTAAAGAGAGTGAGTTCCTGTTTCCTCATACCTTATATACCTTTCTCTGCCCTGCCATATTACTTCCTCGGATTAAAAGTGTGTTTCCAAAGCAAAGGCATGAGATCTCAAGTGCTTGGATTAAAGGTGTGGGCCACCACTGCCAGCTCTCTTTCTCTCCTATACTGGATCAATCTCTTGTAGCCCAGTGTGGCCTTGAACTCACAGAGATCTAGATGGATCTCTGCCTTCCAAGTGATAGGATTAAAGGTGTGTGCCACCACTGCCTGACCTCTGTCTAATCTAGTGGCTGGCTCTGTCCTCTGATCCTCAGGCAAGTTTATTATTTATCACCACAATGGGTTAAATTAAATGTAAGAGCCAGTTAGTAATAAGCCTGAGCTATTGGCCGAGCATTTATAATTCACATTCAGCCTCTGAGCTGGTTATTTGGGACTGGGTGGTTGGGACAGGAAATGTCCATTTACATATGGCCCCCCAACGTGGGGGCCAAAATTTCCACATAAAACCTAACAGAGCTTATAAAAGAATACTAGACACACAAGAATGGAGTCAAGTATGATTTCTTGGTAGCTGTCTCTTCTTCAGTGGGCTCTGTTTGCTGGTGATGAGCAGAGGCATGGCTCCTTTAAGAGATGGCTTCCAGACTTGCTAGTGGCTCTTTTAAGAGGTCCTACTACCAAATGCTTACATGGTGTTTTTGAGCAGCTAGTGGCACACTACTCAGTGGCAGCATAGACCCAGAAACCTCCCAGAGTTGGGGTGGTAAACATGGCTCCCAGAGCTGAAATTACCATGTCTTCTCTGCCATGAGACTAGGCTCTCAGGGAACTGAGGAGGAGCCAGTGCCAGACGCCATGATCTAAGTTACACAGCAGACAGAAGAGGTTACAGGTGAGCAGTAAGGACAGATTCAGACAAAAAGAGCCTCTAAACAGGTCACAGTGTGTTTAAAAAATATGCATAGGCTTGAGAGAGAGAAAGAGAAGAAAAGGAATATATACAGTCTTAAATTAAAAAATATAGTTTTAAAATAAAGTCCTTAAAAAAGGAGCCGGGCGGTGGTGGCGCGCGCCTTTAATCCCAGCACTCGGGAGGCAGAGCCAGGCGGATCTCTGTGAGTTCGAGGCCAGCCTGGGCTACCAAGTGAGTTCCAGGAAAGGCGCAAAGCTACACAGAGAAACCCTGTCTCGAAAAACCAAAAAAAAAAAAAAAAAAAGGAATAGAGTAATTAAAAAATAATAAGCCACATAAAGATGGGAAAAACACAGAGAGTCTGGATACTGTGTGTTATTGTTTTGTCTTTAAATTTTTTTTTTTTTTTTTTTTTTTTTTGGTTTTTCGAGACAGGGTTTCTCTGTGTAGCTTTGCGCCTTTCCTGGAACTCACTTGGTAGTCCAGGCTGGCCTCGAACTCACAGAGATCCGCCTGGCTCTGCCTCCTGAGTGCTGGGATTAAAGGCGTGCGCCACCACCGCCCGGCTGTCTTTAAATTTTTTGATCGCTAATGAACAAATGATAACTGCTGAGAGACATTTGATTATGATAGCTCCTAGATTAAACCAACCTATATATTTAAAAAATATCTTGACTTCAAAATTTAAGTCAAAAGATATGTTACTTTGGAAAAGAGGTTCTGCTTTTATTTCCACAGGAAATGAGAGGCTCTGGATTCATTCTGGGTTAAGAAAAATCAGGTTTGATCAAGGAAGACCCCCTGAAAATCTCCAATGGGAACAGATGGCCCAGATGATCCCACATTTCAGAGCACCTCCGTTGCAGTTTCCTCTGAGTTCTACATCCAGAAGAGCTTCAAGGCTGCTGGCTGAGATGATCCAGCCACACAGAGTACTCCAGTCAGGACCATAATCCTAAATGTTCTCAGGGTCCCCCAAAGGTTACCAGTGCCCCCAATCAACAGAAAATAGTCTACAGAACTATACCTATATTCCCAAAAATAAATTATGGATAGTTGTCATTGTTTAGGGGGTTGGTTACAAGTTGTTATTGGAAATGATCAGAAAAAAAGCTGAACAAAGGAGATTAGATTCAGGGATCTCATTGTAAAAAGAAAAGGGGGGGATATAGAAATAATAGGATAAAAGGATAGATTATTGAATCTACTTTTAAACTAAAAAAGCAACCCCTAGTCTTAAATATTTTACATTGGTATGGATTTTGGTTTATTGATGCAAATTTAAAGTTAATTTTGTTATACTATATGTATGTTTCTACTCTTGTTTGGGGTATTGTGCTTATACAGCTCATTTAACAATGTAATACATAATTAAAAATACAGATTAACCGGGTGGTGGTGGCGCATGCCTCTAATCCCAGCACTTGGGAGGCAGAGCCAGGTGGATCTCTGTGAGTTCGAGGCAAGCCTGGGCTACCAAGTGAGTTCCAGGAAAGGCGCAAAGCTACACAGAGAAACCCTGTCTCAAAAAACCAAAACAAAAAAAAATACAGATTAATAGTCATCTATAATAGCCAAACTTATAGTCATGTTAGGTATGTTTTCAAGGTCATAATATATATATTTAGATAGATGGTCTTCAAACACTTCAAAGACCTACACAGAATATGGTATCTAATATGTTTAATAACCTAAGGCTTTTCATGACAGTGAGACACATCTGCTCCTGGCAGCACCAATCTATTTCAGAGAAGATGTTGGGCATTGAAAAATTTCATATGGAGTTTATTTTCTTTATGGCAAAAGCTAGCCATGTGGACAAAGAAACTGCCCTTGCCTCAATTGCTAATAATTACTGTCCAAACTAGACCAACAGGACACAAGAATGGTGACTGCTGAA